CTCCACTATGGGTTTCAGGAATATCCTCTTGGTTTCCGAATGTTCGAAAACCAAAGAGTTTTCGAGAATGCCGATTCGGATACCCTAAAAGTATCCTCGGATTCTCTGATGGTATTGAGGGAAACCGTAAAGGTATATTAGGAAACCTATATTACTAGCAAAATCGATTTTCTACCCCAAGGAGTATCCGACAATACCATTTCGGTTTTCGAAGTATTTCATCGGAAACCGGAAGGGTTTTTGAAGCTTCCAAATCTCAAAAAAGTATAATGGGAAACGTAAATAGGTTTCCGAAGAATTTCATCGAAAACTGAAAAGGTTTGCGAAACTTCCAAAACTCAAAAAAGTATAATGGAAAACCTAAATAGGTTACCGAATTTTTTTGAAGCCTTCGAAGACTTCCGAAGTTTCGAAAGCAGTCGAAAACTGCTTCCCTTAAGTGATGTCAGAGCCTTACAACTATTTGAAAGAAACTTGGTGGGGATCCGAATTTCAATCTTCATTTTTTTTTCATTTTAACGGTTATTAGGACGCTTGAAGCGACTATGTGTTTATCACAAGGCATTTGCTTATCAATGATTGCTTCTTGACATCAACATATTTTTATACATATTCATTTCATTCTCTCAAAATAATCAAACATCATTTTTACATTGTCAATACAAGTGTGGCTACTGGTACAGGACGAAAAACATAGCCTTGACAAAACTCAAACCATTGAATAACAACATTAACTCTACTATGTGTCTTTTCTCTTTGCTGTTTTGATAAAATTCTAATAAAAACGCCGACTAAGTTTAGGAATTGGAATCCACAAAAGGTGAGAGAGAGTAAGAACACTAGAAATATTTGTCATTGTAAAGTTATTCTAACTGACTAATCTACAAGAAGATAGTATCGATGGACTTCAAATCATTCAAAAAAATTAGTTTTAAGCGAAAACGAGGTGATGATATCATTGTCATCCACATGTGATTGCAACAATTTTGTCCACATATTTGTCAAGAGAACAATGAATCATCATTCTATGATATCTGCCTTTCTTTTTTTCCAGTGTTTTCTCTGCTTACGTGGTATAATCTAATAAAAATGAAAGTTTAAACCTCTAATGTATAGATTCGTAGCAGTGCATTTGTGTTGTAATATTGTTTACTTTATATTGAATTGATTGTGTCGTCTTCACATTTCGGTTGGCTGAAAGTTATCCAAGTTTGAGATAATATAATTGTTTATTTCGCCTCATTTAATAACAATTTTCATTAAAAACAAAAAAAATTAATATAAGCGATTATTTGTATTTTCTCTGATGTTGTCTATAACATTTCGTTTATATAACAGTTTCTTGTTAGAATTCTCGACTATTCTTTAGGTTTTCGAAAAGAAGCTCAAGACAATTTTCTTATTCATATGGTACTGAATCAAGAGATTAAGTAATGATAACTATTGGTCACGATAAAAAATGCACAAACAAGTTAACAAGCACAAACTGTTTCTAGGTGCACTCTTGCATAGTCATCATAGAATGGACAAAAAAAAAATATCAAATCTCAAATGCTCGTGATTATTAAATGTACCTATCTGAATGCTCTCAGAATACATTAATATCAACCAAAGTTTAAATGAAAGTTAAAAGTAAAGTTTGAGGATGTTTACTCATCTACTTCAATGTTTAGTTGTAATGTTAAATTTCGAACACCTCACTTCGTTTAAGTTCACAAACATCTGATTTTTAAAATATACTAGCCTTGAAAATACAGATAATAAGGAAAACAGTCAATATGAAAAAGATTGCTTTGAAAGAAACCTAGACGTTTTTTACATGATTAACCAGGGCAGAGGGTATCAGCCAAAAGCACGGGTTGGGACGGGTCCAGAAAAATAACGTTTGGTGACACGAGCGAAGCCGATTGAAAATAGATCAAAACATGTTCACATGATTTCCTAATAACCCTGTTCATCTTTTAGTTTGTGCATACGACGTTCAAACCACTTTCATATCATTCAAACACGCTATAAGGAAACGTTTTGAATGCTATTCGACAATAAAATTGATTTTTCTGAATCTCTAAGCCTTTTGATGTTATATATATAAAATAATACATATGTACCACAAAGATGGAAGATTTAAAATAGTTTGAATGCTTTTTTTTATAGATGAATACTACTGATCCATTCACGTGGGAAATAGATGATGTTGCGACTTGGCTACGTACTTTCATTTCAAATGATGAATTAATTAAAGAATTTCAAAGTGAGTCCTATAAAATATGTAATGGACCTCTTTTTCAGGTTGATTTATAAATATTCTTTCATCTTATTATCCTTTCTCTCTTCCACCTATCATAGTTTAGATGTTTTTTACTAGGTACTATCTCCTAGGAAACTAGCGTTGTATAAGCTGACTTACACCTTTAATCTAGAAGTTTGTTTGATTTTGTATACGGCGTATTAGGTGATACTTAGTTAAATGATTTTGTTTCTTTATTGTAAGATTAAGTAACTCAATCACTCAGTGATGTCCACTAGAGTCTTTTTGTGCAAAATTTGCATTACCAATCGATCATTTAATGAATTTTGTGATTATTTTCGTCATGTTACATTGTATCATGCCAATGAACCTAATTTTCGATTAACATGTGATATATCAGACTCTTGTGGTGTTATGTATAAAACATTTACGTCATACAAAAAGCACATTCATCGGCATCATGAAAATTTACTTCATCCAGTATGTCAACAACAAGAAAATACCGTTATTAATGATATGAATACATTAGCAATTCAGCAACCTGATGCAACAGTTATATATCCAGATACAGCTGATAATAATCATGACAATGTTATATATGCAGATTTTGATGACGATCTTGATAATCAATGGAACACTCTAACAACAAATATTTCTAGTAAAGATGAAAAAATAAATCTTCTTACAGTTCAACAACAATTCATCCGATTTTTACTTGAAATGAGAGAAAAACACATTTTGCCTCAAACAGTGATCCAATCCATTACAACACATATAATCAATTTACTAGATAGCGTAGTTGAGCTTGTAGAAGAACAAGCAAAACAAGAAAATATGACTCAACAACAATCAACAACAACTATTTCTGTTAATGGAATGCGCAAAACAGTAAAGCAGATAGAACAATCAATTATTCTCTCAACTCGAAATGAATATCAATTTATACAATCTTGTCAAAAGTTTTTCAATTATTCACCACCTATAGAAAATGTTTTATCATCAAATCATTTGAAAAAAGAATATTCATATCATATACCTATACGAAACACTTTAGAGAAAATTTTACAAAAAGATGAAATGATACCACTTCTAATTGATAATATTCAACATCAAACTTCAATAACACATAATGATCCAGATTTAATGTTTTCAAGACGGGACGGTGTTAAAGGTAAAATATTTAAAAATCAATCATTTTTAATTCAATTATATGTCGATGGCATCGTTGTTACAAATCCGATAGGTCCGAAGAAGGACCAACACAAATTGACACTTGTATACTTCATGTTAGAAGATATACCGAATATCTTTCGATCTACATTACAATGTATTAATCTTGCAGCTATTTGTTACACAAAAAACCTGAATAATGATGAAAAACTTAGAAAATTTTATGATCCGATTGTAAATGATTTGAATGATTTGCAATCTACTGGTTTAATATTTGATACATTTAACAGTCAGTTACATTTTACATTTACGACAATTGCTGCTGATAATTTAGCAGCACATGAAATCGCTGGTATGCAACAAACATTCAGTTCCGGATATTTTTGTAGGAGATGTTTAATAACCTATGAAAATCGACTTATACCATTAACCGATATTCACTTCATTCAACGAACACATCTTCAACATACAAAATGTTTACAATTACTTGAAAATAATCCACACATAAAATCAATGTATGGTGTTATTGGTCCAAGTCCACTTGATAATTTAATAAATTTTGACACAACTGCTTCTCTTCCTGGAGATGTGATGCACGATTATTTCGAAGGTAACTATTCATAAGATAAAATTTTGCTTGTAGATTGATTTTTTTTCTTTTTTTTTAGGTGTATGTCCGATCATTATCATGGCGATGTTAAAGGAAGCATCAAATTTAAAGCTGATTACTTTTGCTGCTATTCAGGAGAGAACAGAAAATTTTTCTTATGGTGAATTAGATGCATCAAATAAACCTCCTTCTATACAAGTTAAACATCTAAACAATGATCGTATTACTGGAAGTGCAGCTCAAAAATTCTGTCTGTTTCGATTGTTCCCAATCATCTTTTCTGATATGATCGAGCATTTAAAATCATTTAAAATTTACCTCATTTTGCGTGAAATGTTGGATATAATATTAGCTTTGCCTCAACGAAAAAGTTGGCTTCCTTATCTTGAAACATTATCAATAAATTTTCAGTGTATGATGTTAGAGCTTTTGCCAGATAAAGCAACACCGAAGGTACATTATGCTACTGAGTATACAAAAATAATTGAGGAAAATGGTCCACCACTAAGGTATTGGTGTATGAGATATGAGGGTGCTCATTTGTATTTCAAAAAAATTGCTATGCAATCTTATAACTTCAAGAATATCCCGAAAACATTGGCTCAAAGACAACAACTTCGACAATGCTTTTTATTGTCCAACTGTCAATTCTTGAAAGCATTTGAAGAAGCTAGTGGTAATAAAATAATTCATATGTATGAAATAGATTCAAAAATCAAGGTTCTTCTCACTCGTCGATATGGACAACAATTTATTCAATCACAAACATTGTTTCAATGTTCGCAACTGATTCACAATCATGTTATTTACAAACAACATGCCGTTTATGTTTATGATTTAGAACATGTAGAAGAAATTCCATTATTTTTTCAAATAGTTCATATATTAAAGTTAAATCAAGAATGGATATTCGTTGTAGATCTTCTGAATACTGATGGATTTAGTACTAAACTATGGAGCTACAGAGTTAGCTCATATGATCGACTTGACATAGTTTCACCAAATAATTTAAAATATTATCACAAAGGACTTGACTTATATAAAGTAGATCATTTTCATGTTGTTAATCTAACATCAAGACTAACAAAAGCAAATTGACATTTCTAGGATATAAAGCATACTGCTTTTTTTTTCTTTTTTAATCTAATTCTGTGATTTAAGATCTAAACTTTCACAATTTGAGAATTGTCGAACCAGAACCTTCTTTTTATTTTTGTTGTTTTTTGTTGTAGAGGAAGAAGTTGATGGTGAAACATTGTTCTATATGAACGATTTGAATCTATTGAAACCATTCAAATTGTCGTACAAAAATCAAATTATATTTTTGAAAGAAAGAAAAAAGTTATTTTCGTCGAAAACAAACGAAAAACCAACATCATCATCAACACCAAATGATACAGCATTATTAATTATAGATGAAAATCAACAAGATCATGAACATGAAAATCAATCAGCAGAAGCATCAATAAATGTATCATCTATCGAAACTATTATTACAACTGAAAATTTAACAGAAAAATCTCTTCCAGATCCTTATTTATTACCAGTGTTACCGAGTCAAGTCAACGATGCAATTAATCTTAAACAAATGGAAAAATTTGAAAAACTTTGCAACTTTCGTTCAATTATTATAGATGCTGTTTTTCATGATTTGAAAACAAATTATGGTTTGATGTAAGTATAATATTTTATTGTCTTATTTAAGTTCTTTTTTTATTTATTGGGGAGTTTTCTATAAATCTAGAGACGAGTCATTATGTTAAAATAACAAAACCCAATAGACTGTATAGGAAAATATAAAGAAGATTTTAACATATTAAATACATTTGTTTCTTATTAAGTTTTAAACTTTTAAAATTGGAATGTTAATAAATGAATTCATCTACATATTTTTTTTCTACATAGATATCCGACACGAGAACAATATACAACAATTGTTAATGGAATACTTAATCATTTGAAGATTGAACGTGATCCAAAAACATCTGTAAGTAAATCTGAAAAATAATCCTATCAATATTATAATCATTGATATTTTAGAATTCATGGCGAGAATCTCTCATTTCCAGATACAAACGAGAGAGACAAAATTTCGATGAAGAAAAAACAATCGAAATGAAGCTTAGATATTCAAGAGAAAAGTCCGGAAGAAAAATCAAAAAATATTCAACAACACAATTATCAGAAAGAAACACATCAAAAAAAGTAAGTTACACTAAAAACAGCCAAAAGGATATGCATGTTTTTATTTTCCTAGACATCAATCATTCAAGATACACCTAATGAAATACAACAAATGGAAGAAAAAGCTGAAACACTTAAAACAAATTTTCAAAATAAATCAATTGATGATCAACATTATCAACGGTTGTGGCTTGAAACTTTTGATTATCGACAAAATTTTATCAAGGAAAACACAACTGCAGATATTATGGAACGTTTTCCTGTTTATTCAAATCCATCTATGGTAAAAAAAAATTGCAATACTTTCAGTATCACATTTTCATTTTAGATATTGACAGATGTTAAATTATTAACAGGTGTAGATTTGGATCATTCTGTTAAAGAAAAAATGAATTTGCTTTCTAATAAAATTTGTTCTAATGATAAATTTTTAACAGGTAGGAAAAAAGTTTATAGTATACCAAACAGTAATCTTGTTTATTAGATGATCCAATTGTTCGTTGTTTTAAAGTATTATGTAGCATACTAAACGACTCATGGAAACATTACATTTGCTTTTATCCTGATGTAAGTTATCTGAAAATTTTTTTAAATTTTCCGAAATATCGCAAACATGAAAAGAATAGAAGAAGTTAGTTATATTTGGTCTTGTGTTCTAGTCAGCTAGGTAGTCTTCTTAGCTTGATTGAGAGACATCGCTTATTACTTTAGTTTTTCTTTATTTCTGACTACTACAGACTTTCTATCAATGTTATGGTTCTTTGCTTTAAACTTTCTTAAACATGCGGATATTAGCGGGCCATAAATGTTATTCGATCAATCGGATATTTTAAAGTATCATGCA